CAAGCAAAAGGAAAAAAGTCATGAAATTTGCTATCCAGGAACAAAAGTGGTTTTCCGCTGGAATGATCATAAGTGCGTCCATTATAAATGGTTCTCATGATAAATGACATTCTAAAAACATTACTGGTTGCTAGCCCTATTTCGCTAACGGACCCGAAATTTCCAATTTAACGGAATTGGAGCATTTTCCCGTACCTACGTCACTGTTCTGAGGCAGGTTTTCAAATTTAATTAGATCGGCCTTCCTCGACGAAAACATCATATGTAGCTGTTCTACCCTGTTCCCGTTACCCTGTTCACATTTTGCGAACCCCAAAGCTGGAAGTTGCAGTGGGCGTATGAGCGGAAGAAAATGGTAATGACCACACATCCCACTGGGGTTTCTGCTCAAAGATAGTAGCCGCACCCGACCGATTCGAAGGGGCCTTTCCTGGTGCAAAAAGCCTGCTTTGCTGTCTCTGAGGATGTCCCACTTTCGCGGCTTCATAGTGAAAATGAAGGCGCTGCGGCCCTCGTTAGTTACAGTTTTGACGCCTCTCTGCTGTTCCCACCAAAACTAAAGGCTATTTTCTGTCGCAGTTCAGCTTTTCCACCGTGTTCTTCGTTTTTTTTTTTCACTGTTAGATGATATTAGCACTGGATGGCGCGTAGATACGACTACTCGGCAACAACAGGCCCGAAGAACTCTTACAGTGAAGCTGCCAGGTTGTCCTTACTTCGAGTGTTCTCTACGATTTTTCGCCTTTTTTCCATGGGGAATCACTCGACTATAGGTTTATAATTGAAAGCCACTACGCACAACATAAAAGCAGGGTTTGGTTCCAATACATTCTAGGCGCAATTCGGGGAGACATTTTGCACTTTCTCTGCTTCACTCAGTTCCGGTTTACAAGTCACACTTTGGTGAAACTTGTGAACTGTTGTGAAGACGAGTAAGCTTGTAAGCTCATCGAGCTTCCATGGTAAAACCTGTCAACTCTCGAAAGTCATGAAATAGCTCTCTACACTACTAATACTTTCTGAAATAGCTCACGCCGACGTGAAGTGGCAATTGCGCAAAATGCCCCCCCCCGTCGACGAACTGCACTCTCATTTGCTAAAGCCCCAAACAAATGAGAAATGTTGGCAGCATAGGGTTCTTATGGAAAAGCACTGCCTTTGTGTTTCAAAGACCATCGCAATTCCTGCCTCTAGATGATGAAGGCAATTCCTGTCTTTTTTGCGATTTCCCCTTCGTTTCCGATTCTTCCCCTGCTGCTTTCCAATGCGAATTTCGCGTCAGTGCATTTCTCGAGGAAGATTTCGAAAAGATATCATATCGACTAGCATTTTTCTTGTCCAGGTCATCTTGTGCATGATGGGCTTCGAATGCGAGTCCTTCATAGCGCTCACATCATTCTCTTGAAAGCCATCTGTGTGTTGTTGCTGGTGTGAAGAAAGTGCAACATTCGTGCATTAACTATCTCTCTCACTGGACATATTGGGGACTTTCTTCGATGAAAACCAAATTTGATTAGTGCAACCACAGAACCTCGTCTGGAATCGCATAAAGAAGTATCCTGGAATCCTTGAAATGAACAAATTTGGTGGAAACACTTGAACAAGTGACGCTCAACCAGAGATGACGACCACAAACACGAACACAAGCGCACCACCACACTTCCAATTTGCGACGGCTGGTTCAGCACCCGGCAAACAAATATGGCGCTTCAACATAGCGCAATGTTGACTGCTTCAAAGACATCTGTTGAAAAGAAAAACGAATCACAAAGGAGACTGGGGAAAAACAGAAACCCCTCTACGATTTATTGCCATGAACGAACTCCTTCACAGTGGAGCTGCTATGTCATACTATGTAGCGTACCATATCTGAAGGGTGCTCTTGAACACGCGCAACTTCTTTCAGCACGTTACACGGATTCCACTTAGACTTCCAGCGTGAAGCATAAATCTTACTCTTCCCCTCACAAACCTAGCAGTTCTCTCCAACAAGTTCCCAGAAGCAATAAAGAAGTATCCTTAGATTAGCGGTTGCAGATGGAACGAGCACTTTGAAAGTGGCACCTGCCCAGAAATAAGGATTAGCTCACAGCTACGTTGAGCCCTTACCAAGAACCACACAACAATCATACAGGTGATTGAGGCATGCAATAAGACGTACACTGACAGACTGCTGGTACTTTGCAGAGCAACAGAAAGCTTCGAGTGTGGGAAGCCTAGAAGCGAATCTATTTCAGAACCTGATTTATCACGTACATGCAAAGCCGATGTTCATCTCCATAATTCTTCCTTTATGACAGCTGTCAAAACTCCCAAGTTTGATTGGTATACAACGCCGAGCAATATCCAACCAAACACAATCGACATCTCGAAGAGGCGGGGCAACGAGATGGGCGTGGTGAACAAAACGAACGCTATCAACCAACACTGCCATCGCCGTGCTTCATGCCATGGACAACGTCGTTGAGCTGCGATGTGCTGATGGCACAACGCTAATGACAACAAAGGAGACACTCGCCCGAGTTCCATATTCCAAGCTCTGCACAGATGAAACTTCGACATATACATCTGACGCCAAAATTCTAGCCATTATGCTAGACGCCCTGAGGCGCGATGATCAACGACTGACTGTGCCTGATGACTTCAACGATTGGGGACGATTGGCAAACGAAGCACGACGTCTAGGATTGTCTCAAATCGCCGAATTAGCGTCACCTTGTACTATATGCGTGGCATGTCATGTCGCACTGTCGGCTGGCCGACTAAATCCCGAAGTCACTTTTCGCAAATTATCGCGTATTGTCATTTCTGGCAAACTTAGCGTATGCCGAGCAGTATTTGGATCGGACCTTAACGAAGCTCGCGACGGCGGTGGTACCGATTTCGAGCAAGATCGATACACGTCGCGGTGCGTTAAATTTCATTTCAAGTTTTTTGACGAGTGTCACCTCCCACGAGCAGCGTGACACGCACTTGCTGTCTCTCGTGGAAGCTTATTAGGTAAGATAGTGCAAGCGACCAAATCCCACCCAACTGACATAAGCTGGTACATTTTAGGCTCATAATGGTCCCTTGTCATCAAGCCATAATTATAGAACCTGTCGTGTCAATTAAATGCATAAGTGGCACAATGACATGACAGATTGCTTGCCATTCATCTCCTGTTCGGAAATGTCAATGAGGTTGACATGTGGGGGATTTCCGTCTGAGCATGCGATACGCGTAAAGCCACATTTCATTTAGCAAAAAACTACATCACAGTTTTTGCTTGGTGTCACACCCAGTGCTGGCTAAACCGAGGCTGAGGCTAGCTACTTCCAAGTCACCCTTGATGCAAACCTTGTCGGCATGCCATCACGCTCTAATTTTTGCCACCAATGAAAACAAGCAAAATGTCGCGATCATGTGGGAATGACGCTCTCATCATGTCATCTGGCCTTGATGAGGACTATAAAATCGGCCGCACACCGCCTTCCAAGCTTTGAAAACTGCTAGAATCAATCCCTTTGTGACACTGAAAGTTTAAGGGATAGTTTTCGCCATTGATCAATCCCTTTTTAGGATGCACCCATTCCACTTCCATTTCGAATCCTAAAGGCTGACTGAATGCGACGTAGCTACAATGACTTGAGGGGGCCAGCCAGTGTGAAAGAGTGTCCTTATCCTCCCAGACGAATCTGATCGATCTACCTCCCTCGAGGAGTAGAACGCTTGGTTGGCTTGGACGGTAGCCGATCCTTGATTTCCTCCCCAGACCACGTGTGGTGAGCGTGCCGCCTGCCACTATACCACCTCTTCTTTCTGACATTCTTAATTAATTTCAGAGTTTTCCTGAAGCACAGTAGTTTGGAGCGAGCATTCGACACTTTGGCTTCATGTGGATTCAAACTCTGTCACGCAAACACTTTTGCACCGTCGTTTCTCAAACAACATGCCGGTTCTGATTCAAAATTCTTGCACCACTCACAATACATATTCACTCGAGATCCAAAGGTAAGAGTTGATTTGAAGTTGTTTCTAGCGTCACAGAATCTGCAGAAACTGAGCGCCTGGGGTACAAACAGCAAACCTTGTTAGTGCTATAGTATATGAGGCAAGTTAATGCCGCCGGACTTGGATAATGGGAATTCAGAATGAATGAAAGCGTATATAACGCGACGCTGGGACCATTTCAGCCGTTTTTTGGCTTTTCATCGACATTACTGAGCGCGAAGAGTCACCGCCAAGTTCGATAAACTGACAGATTACATCTGGAAAGACTTCCGCGGCACTGCACGCGTAAACCACATCTAACCAGTCAACTGGACACAGCACTTTAGTGTAAAAAGGATCAGGGTGCAATAAGGAGAAGTGAAGAGGGGAGAGGGTATTTCGCATTTCATCAAATGGAGACCTCTGAAACGTAAGCCGTATTAAGGCATAAGAGTGCAAAATGCATATTTTCGGTCGCCGAATTGCGCGTGGAGTTGAGCCAGGCAGCCCTGCACCCCTTTTTCATGGCCTTATGAAATTCGTTGGTACATAAATCCTCCCCCCCCCCACCTAAGGTTTGAGGATCGATATCGATCGTGTTCGGCACTCGAAGGTTTCAGTTGTAGAATGGCATTCAATTGAGGACCAAACTCAGGATTTAAAATAGAAGAACGCAATTTACAGTCTGTTTCTCTGCGGATGATGGGGCGCATCAGCGTGGCGGCTACGTTTAGCGCGACAGGACCATCACATCTTTACTATCAGCCGTTCTCCGTCAGTCACCTGTGTCACTTACGAGTTTCAACATGTAGATAATGGGTTTGGCGGTGTGCCAAATGCAGTCGCACGGACACGCCTCACCTTCCGTTGCGAACCAGTCTGTGCGGGCTATCAATTTCTTGAAAGAAAGGGAAGTATAGTAACTGGAAGTGGGCCGTCAAAGACATGACGCTGATCACCACGGAAATAATAAGGGTCCCATAAAACTCTCAACGTTCCTTTTCTTCTCTGGAACCTTTCTCATCTTTCCAAATGCAAGCGAAAACAATCAAGATTGGGTTCAAAGGAAAAAAAAATTAATCGCCACGAGGAATGGGACAAATTGGTGTGGGATTACAATCAGTTTTGCATGAATTTTCACCTCCTTTCCGATGAATATCTTCCGGAATATGACTATATCGTCATGCTTTGGAAAGCCATCGAGAACGAACTCATGCTAAAACTCTGCCCCTCCCCTGTCCACCCTCTCACCTCTACAGTTCTTCCTCACGGAAACGCTTATTAACAAATCATCACATACGGTATGTTTCGCAGATGAGACGCCTTTCTTCAAATCCTCCTTTCACCTCATACACTCTCCCTTAGGTATCTCAAATCAACAATCAGATCATTTTCAAGGCTGCGAATGCCTCTTGCAACACCCTTAGTCCAGCATAAATCAATTATAACTAAGACACGGTTTGAAAAAAAAACTGCGCTTTCAAGCCTCTTTGAAGACATTAACGCAAAAAGGCAGACTGAATAGAAAAGTGCAAGCCGTGACAGATAAACTACTCCCTTTCCACTTTCTCCTGTTTATTTCACTCGCGAAAGACTGTGCTCACGGAAGATTAAATCTTCCAAAAAATGCCCAAGGCAACGCTCTGCCATCTCAGCACGCACGTGAAACTTAGCCAATTATGATGTTACGCAGTTGCACGAAAACAATCAGAGTGCAGAAAAATATATATCCCACCGCGCAGCTGTTTTGTGTGGTGCTACAAGCGTTACCGTGTGACAAAAGTTGAATTTCAGCGCCATTTTCTCGTTTTTTTTTGCGTTAGATAAGGTTTGGGGCTGGGAGATGCGAAGAAACGATCCAGAGGAATGAGTGTTTTTGTTAATCTAGGAGAAAAAGGTTTGGGGTAAGTGACCACACCCACCCAGGAACTCTTTCGTTCTCTAGGCTCAGGCGAATGCCCCCTGACAAAAGGAAAAAGAAAAATATTTGCAATGGTTTCAAGTTGCACTTAAATGCCCAGTACGTTCGACGACGCTTACAACCTTGAAGGGGCATCTAAAGGACTCCTTGTGCAGAAGGATTACAATCATTCGAACAGAATCGAAGTATTCTGAAATGGCTGGCCCAGCCTGGGGGCCTATATGCGGTCCACATCTCCAATACGGTGATCGTTGTTTTGCATGAATGCCCTCTAAATGCTTCTCCAAGGCTATGAGCGCCTATCTGACTAACGTTAAAGCCTGTCTAAGGCCGCGTTCATAGCTTGCGACCATGAAGAAAGTGAAGAAGTGCCGAAAGTGCGGAAAGTGAAGAAAAGCAATAGATACGTATCGATTTGAAGAAAGTGAAGAAATGCCGAAAGTGCGAAAGTGCGGAATCTGAAGAAATGCCGAATGTGAAGAAAAGCAATAGATATGTATCGATTTGAAGAAATTGCGGAAAGTGCGGAATCTGCAGAAGTGCGGAAAGTGCGGAATCTGCAGAAAGTGAAGAAAAGCATTAGATACGTATCGATTTGAAGAAAGTACGGAAAGTGGGAAGGTGCGGATAGTCAAATCGATACATATCTATTGCTTTTCTTCACATTCGGCATTTCTGCAGATTCCGCACTTTCCGCACTTTCGGCACTTCTTCACTTTCTTCATGGTCGCAAGCTATGAACGCGGCCTAAGGCTGCGTTCATAGTATGCGTCAGCGTCCACCAGCCACCACCAGCGACCATCGCGTTTCAAGCGTATGCCAAACCCAGCGACTAAGAAACTATAGATATCGGTCTAGCGAACGGCAGTGTCCGAATGCAGCGTGAAGAAACGAATCGCTTTCTTTTTTTTAAAGCAAAGATTACTTCATGAAATCATGGGGTCAAAGAGTCTGTATACTTTTCAGATGATATGCTGCGTACCTTCTCAAGGCGGTCCGTGAGAATGATCTTGATGCCATTCTTGTCCAAATTTCGCTTCTCCAATTCCTGCTTCAGCTCCGTCACACGCAGCTCACTTAGCAGTTTCTGTTCACCAACTTCGGTCATCTAGAAAATTTCTTATGTGTCGAATAAAAGCTTTTGATGAGATTTAGTACGCGTACACGATTCATTCAATTTACACATGATGAACGCAAAGACAAGAAGAACAACGACGGATTCGGAAGAGAAGGACGCGTTCGAAAAAAATTACTCAATTACATCATTCACATGAGTGCTAAGTACTGTCTTATTCAGTGCAAATTAGTTACCCATTCTAATGCCCTGACCTAATTTGCATTCAACAGCTCGCATTAAATGAATGCACGAGAAAGGACGACAACATCGTCGACCGGGCACTAAATGAAGCAAAATGGCAAAGCTGATTCAACGAAAACTCAGTCTCGTCCAGACAAGGTTGTTCACGTGGAAAACTGATCACTCTTGTTTCGACGCGAGAAAAATTCAAAGAACAACACAAGAACGCTAGAAATGAAACATCAATAGAAATCTCATTCACGCCATCTCCCCCCCCCCGCCTAGCACCAAACCAAAAACCAATTTCTTGTCACGGACTTGGCGAATTCTGTGAATTCACTTTGCCAGGGATGTCTCGAACAATGGAACAATCAGCTATTCTCTTCATTCCATTCAATACTCAGGTGCATAGGAAGAATAGTCAATCACTTGCAGCTGCGCTCATTAATAAATTTTTGCTGAATTCTCAGAATATGCCAGACTACTTGTGAAATCTTGTGAACAAGCTTAGAAATGACACTAATTTCGAGGCAAATGTGGGCACGTGACAAGAGAATCGTAATTCGCCGCGCGTAGGCGTCACGTGCGACGCCGCGCCTGCTAACGACGATAGGTGGTATTGGCCGAGAATGGACAATGTATGACCAAAGCATAGACAAGCGTCTACCATGTCCTTGTCTACATGAAATCTGATGCTCAATCGAAAGGGTAGTGCAAATCAAGAAACGTCGCGCCCACTGTCGCGCGCGACGAAGCGGCAATTTACGATTCTCTAGCCTCGTCCACCGATGGGAAGTTAAAAAGCGCAAAATCCCACGCCACCCCTCTTCCCATTTCGACAACTGCGCCGACAGTGCAGTAGTAGACAAGACATAACATAGTCGCGCTGCCACTTCGCACCGCTCATCCACCTTAAAGACAGCCCCCGCGCTCGAGTAGTACATGGTCGTCCTTCCTTGTGCAAGTAGTACAGCCCCCAAGCTAGAGACTGTCCCACTCGACTCCACAGAGAGCGAGGAGCGAGCTACAGCTCCTCGCTCTCTGTGGAGTCGAGTGGGACAGTCTCTAGCTTTGGGGTTGTACTACTTGCACAAGGAAGGATGACCATGTACTACTCGAGCGCGGGGGCTGTCTTTAAGGTAGATGAGCGGTGCGAAGTGGCAGCGCGACTATGTTATGTCTTGTCTACTACTGC